GTTAGGGGGCCATCTTACTGTACAGTGTGAGGTAAGGAACCATTTTAGGTGGGAGAGAAAAGGAGCCAGTCCCGCCCACCCTCCTCGATAGTATTCCAGCTTGTTGTGTTTTATGTTTCCTAAGGGTTAGTTTCCGCAAGTGTGGAATTTGGGGAGGAGGGATACATTTTTTCTAGTTAGGGTTATGGGTATTCCTTTTCTGCGTTTAAGGTGGAATTGGTGTTTTGGGAAATATGTCTGACTTATTTTTCTTCTAGGTTGGTCGTCCATTGGGTGACATGCATCGACGAGGGAGAACTGGCTCTCCGCAAAGTGAAAAGGGGCGGAGTAGGAAGGAAGTGCCAATGGTGGGGCTACTGGGCTCTATAGCTTGGTAGCCAGTAAGAACTTGGGCAACTGTTGGTGGGCGTACCCACTCGGGCCAGAATATGGGCGGCCGGTGGCTGGTACAGTAAACAATGGGTCATGGTACGCCCGCCCTCCGTAAGCGGTGAGTGGTGTTTTTTGGCACTTGTCAGGGACCGAAGTATTTTGTTCTTGCTACATAGTATGTTCTGCTATTATTGTAAATGTTCATATCGCTGTGACCATTCAACCTTCCAATAAATGTTATTACATTACGTTCTCTGAAAATGGCTCAATGTTCAGTGTGTTATTTAGGTGGGAAGTGAGGGTTACTTGGCCTTGCAGTCAGTCAAGTGACTGAGTGCCGAGAATGACAAAGAACCGGATGCCGGAAGATGTAACACATGTGTCACAACATAAACCAAGTCCATTAGCAGCACCCACTTTTACCACACTCACCAATCAATGAGTCCCCATGGCACGCTCAGCACCCTAAGGTACTCTTTCTTTAGCCCACTGAAGCCTGTCCATACCATGAAAGGGCCACTTGGTTGTGTTTGTCCTCCAGGTAAATGTTCTCAGCCCTTCCCTGGCCCCTGGTATCCCTCCCACCCTCTATAGCAGGCCTTCTTAAACTTTCTCCACTCGTGACCCCTTTTTGGCTGAGGAAATTTTTAAGGGACCCCAACGTCGGTGTCTCCCCCTCCCATACCGTAAGTCGGTGTCTCTCTCCGCCCCCCAGCACCAGTCAAACTACACTACACTGCAAATTATACAGTAAACTGAAATAAAACAATCTGGCTTGGTGCCCAGACCTCCTCGGCCACCTGGGCCCCTCACACAAGTACCGGCCATACCCCCCTGATGGCGGTCCTGGCCGGGCACACGGATCGCAACCCCCCTGTTCACTTGCGGGACCCCATATGGGGTCGCGACCCACACTTTAAGAAGCACTGCTCTATAGGACAATACTAAATAATAATAAATGATACAGACGGTGTGATGACACAACAGGAAGTATATCTATAGTGTGTCTATAGGGGCTGTGATTTGAATGTTCAGATATATAATATAATGATCGCCGTGTCATCTGCACTGTGCTGACTTTTCCTCAGCACTATGTGGAGGACCAATGTGAGGAGCAATCCGGATACAAAGCGAGAGGAGTAGAGGAGACCTCTAGGAATGAGGAACACTTGAGGGGGTCGGATCTGCCCCACTCCACCCAAATTCATGATCAGGACTTACCTCTCACAGATATAGAAGATCCTGCACTGTGCTGATAATACAGGCCATAGTGACGAACCTGTTTTGTACATTTATATCCTCGGGATGTGATCAGATTTATGTCTTTAACATGTAACTCGGGATCAGAACCCCAATTCCTTATGACATCATTATCCTTGTAGAATATAGTCTCTCCTCCAGTATATCCGGGATAATGGTGACACCTCAGAGTCACATTGTCACCTTCATGTACATAGAGAGGAGCCTGCAGGATCAGCCAGCCTGAAACACAGAATCATATACAACGTGTATTAGAGGAAAGATGGAGCGTTCCACCCCCTTCATACATCTCCCACCTCATATATAACGCCCTTCCCCCCAATCATACAATCACATTGTAACGTGTGTTACCACTCACTTTGATTAAGGGGAAGGACCCTGAAATATGTAAGTGGTGGTCCTCCAGTCCGGACTGTTGGAAATGCAACAGCATATGCTGATATGCACTGTAATTTGTCCACTGAGCTGTAGATGGCGCTGTAGTGCAATGTTAGTCTCTATGATACACAGGAAGCTGTTTTTTTCTATCTATATGTTTTCTTCAAAATGCTGTATACACATATGTAATGTTTTTCCAAGAAAGTAAAACTTATTTCAGCATTCCTCCAGATCTCAGAGCTTCATCTAATCACATCACCAGACTGTAACTTAGCACTATCCACCATTCTGGATGAGACGTCCGCAGTTTTAACCCTTGGTGTGCTCGGTGCCATTGGCTATCTCTCTTTTTGCTGACTCTCCAGGGGTGATAGTTGCAGCATCTGCCTGGTGACCCGACATCCCATGGAGGTTAATGTGGCCGGTTACTGATCAAGTCACAACTTTGGGAGTGCAACGTATCTTCATATTATTGATTGAAGGGTTTTATCTGTAGTATACAGCGTGCTCTGATTTGTTCTATTGCTAGACATGGGCAGCTGAGGCCCATACCCCGAGTCTTCTGCCCAGTGCTCTGCTTTCTTTCTAGACCTCCACCAGTGCATGTCACTTTGACCACTCAGAATGATATGCTCTCTACTATGCCAGCAATACCGGGTGGAATAAGGTCAAGCCTGACACTGCTTGTATAGTCAAAAACACTCCGAGGGCCCGGGATCTGGGAGGACACTGGATGGGACCTTTCCAGCTCTCTCTAGAAAGTAAACAATTGAGCTTCCACTGACCACCATGCAAAGGATACAGACCACTAACCCCCAATGCAAATGGCACAGGAGGTACCAACACCTCACCACTGCACTGTTTACACTATGCTGGATGTTACATAGTCCTGACCCTTCCATTTTATATGCTATGTTGTCTGGCACATGGCCCCAGGGCAGCCATCAGGGGGTACGGTCCATACTCATGTAAGGGGCCCGGGCAGCCTGGGGGGGGGCTCGCCCGGGTCCCTTACATGACTATCGGCCGACGGTGAAGGGCGAGGAGGCGGAGGCCTGGCCCTAGCAGCGCAGGGCCCCCAGCATTGCCAGCGGCTTTGAGACAAGCTAGGGCCCCATCAACGACGATGTTTGTCTGATGTCGGACTGGCCGGAAGTGATGTCACGTTAGTGACGTGACGTCACTACTGGCCGGTCCGGCAGCAGAGGAGGCCATGTGTGTAGGTAAGAGGAGCTAGGAAGGAAAGGAGGGAGGGATGCAGCCCTGACCAGCCCACCTGAGGCCCCTTCAGAGCCCACCATAGACAGTCTCAGATGGGCTGTGCAGCATCTATGGTGGGCTCTGCAGATGCTCCTCATATGCCATGTTGTATGTCATATATGCTTGACTAAGTGTAGGCCGGTGTGCTGCGCTTGGTTGTATGTGATCCACCTATTTAATTGGTCAATAAATTGTGTAGAAATGTGAAATATCACAAACTTAATGCGGTGCCAGTGATCTAATCCTTATTGCGGCTGTATAGTGAAATACAGATCAAAAAAGGTAATGAGTATGTACCTAAATAAATATTTAAATAATAGGTTTTAACAAACCTTAACTTTCTACAACACATGGGGACGGTCTGCACATGGATGTTGTCCTATTTATAGGCCTCATCCAGGTTGTGCAGACTGTGGGCCCGTCCCAGCTGCACATGACGCGCCGTTAGCGGCAAACGGACTACCTCCCGAGGTTGCTTTGGGTTGGCTCTCCGGCAGTAGGGACGCATGTCAGTAGGACAGAGATTCCATTAATGGCACCTCCATATTTTCCTGATGAAGCCTTGAGCGAAACATGTTGAGAACTGGACACATTGTGGGTCTACTCAGCGTTGTGGATGAATTTGTTTATGCAATTGTATAGGGGAGATGTTTGGGGAGATAAATGTTGATAATTTATTGTTATATACACAGTGTGTATCTGTATGTGATCCAGGGAGGTTTTGTGCCATCTAATGATATCACTAATCTGTCATCTTTATTTTAATAAAGAATATATATATTTTTATACAATGAATGACTTGTATGTAATTTTGAACTGGGTCTCCTTGCATTTGAGGACACTTTCAAAGCCCCATTTCTCTATTTTTGTTGTTGTATTGTTTTAGAGAAAATGTCACCTGTCCCTTTAAGCAAAAGTATCGGTAAGTGGTATCGGCAAGTACCCGAGGCCTTGAAAAAATGGTATCGGGACATCCCTAGTACAATGTATACACTCTATTGTACATTATATACCCCCGACCCCTGCACTCTATATGCTACTTTATAGTTTACATCATTCAAACATTTGCTGGTATTTGCTCCAACAAACCGTCAGATGTTTCTACTTTGTCCTGAATAAATGAATGAAGATTTGTGCAATATGCAGAACATCAAATCATTCTCAAATCTCTGACTAACTGGAGTCCTACATTGTGTGATTGTCTGACGATAGGACGGATTTACAGGCAATATAAGGGACAATCGTCAATTCTCCGGATTCCACCATCACTGAAGAGGCTTCCTGAAGGTTGACTTGTAATGGATACGGGATGGTTGGGCATTGAACTCAACTGGAGGAGGTTGTGGGTGGAGATTCCGAGAGGTATAAGTGTCCAACAACTGCTTAATACAGACCATGTCCACCCCTAAGTCCAGCACTGAACACAAGGACCATCATTCATATGGAGGGTAACACTCACCATGACTGACATCCAGTCTGATGGGGTCACTCCTGCCAGTGTTGGTGCTTTCACACTGGTATTCCCCGCTGTTTCCTGTTTTTGCATCTGTGATTACAAAGCTTAGTCCTGTGTGTATCCGCGTATTGTCCTTGTACCAGGTGTAGCTCACGTCTGCCGGAATAGGAGACCTCACATCACAGGTCATTGTTAGAAATTCCGTTGTGAAGATCTTGTCCCAGTTTGGGTTGAAAGTCACCACAGGCCTCACCGAAGATCCTACAACATAGAACATTGTACATGACCATTATCAGTCAAAGCGAGAAGAAAAGAATTATGTTCCAGCAGATAAAATGAAGTCTTCCTGCCTATAAATTGTTTAATTATCTGCACAGGCAACCATTGGTTCTATTAGTTTCCCCAAGTGTTACATTACTAGTGGTGTACATAGGAGTGGTTTCAGGAGTTCAAAGGGTCCCCCTTCATCAGATCTTGGTACTGATGAACACATACTGTCTAATAGAAATGGAGGGATCCTGAAGGGGTGGTCAATATGCTGGTTGAGCAAGCTCTGATGAGGAGGGACCTTTTGCTGGATGAGCAAGCTCTGATGAGGAGGGACCTTTTGCTGGATGAGCAAGCTCTGATGGGAAGGGACCTTTTGCTGGGTGAGCAAGCTCTGATGGGAAGGGACCTTTTGCTGGGTGAGCATGCTCTGATGGGAAGGGACCTTTTGCTGGATTAGCAAGCTCTGATGGGGAGGGACCTTTTGCTGGGTGAGCAAGCTCTGATGGGAAGGGATCCTTTTGCTGGATGAGCAAGCTCTGATGGGAAGGGACCTTTTGCTGGGTGAGCAGGCTCTGATGGGGAGGGACCTTTTGCTGGGTGAGCATGCTCTGATGGGAAGGGACCTTTTGCTGGATTAGCAAGCTCTGATGGGGAAGGTCCTTTTGCTGGGTGAGCAAGCTCTGATGGGAAGGGACCTTTTGCTGGATTAGCAAGCTCTGATGGGGAAGGTCCTTTTGCTGGGTGAGCAAGCTCTGATGGGGAGGGACCTTCTAAAAAAAAATATATATATATCACAATTCTTCTATCTATAGATCATACGTATGAAGTGATGTCATCTCTCCAAAAATGACGGGAAAAGGCTCAGACTTCTTGTAAAATTATATCTCCGGATCACATTTTTATTGCATTCATTTGTTAAAGAAGAATCACTTACCGG